AGCGCAAGCGATTGGAAAGGGAAGTACGAAAATTAAAGGAGCAGGAGTTGCAACCAAAAAGGTTTGTAAATAATATATGTATTCATAAGGAAATAAAACGACAGTACCAATATTGTATTAAATTGTAGATTTCAAAATTTGTTTGAAAGAATATCCAAAATCATAAATGTGACCATTTATTTCAAAACAAGTATGTACAAGTAAAAAAAATATAACCATACAAGTTAAAAAGTTCATTCGAGAACAGAAAAAATTTTAGTAATCTTATTGAGTCGAAGAAGTGTATCAGTGGCATCGGCTTCGAAATTTTCTATGGAAGGCTTTAATTATTATTATTTTTAAGTATTTATGTATGTACACACTTACAGTATTCACCGCTTAATTGAACTATAAATTCTGCACTTTTTGAAGTGCAACTAAGCGGAAAATAGTATATGTAAACATTCTAGTTTGCGTGTCTTCTTCTTTCTTTTTCTTATTTTTTTGGCGCTGTAACCGCCTAAGCGATTTTGGCCCTTCTTCACTGGAAGTGGTTTTTACGTGGCGGGTCCCAAGCCCAGCGCACAACCCATTGCTGGGACGGGGGTGGTTTCGCAACCAAATACACGTATATATAGCGAGCCGCTTGCTCCAAGCGGACACCCGCTTGCAGCCGCACCTACTGGTGAACAGACGCTGCAGATCAGTGAGCCCTGAAACCGAATAAGTCAGAGTGGCCCCACCGAAGCTCCCTCTCTTTCTTCCGTGACCCAAGGCTCCACTCGGATTGGTTACCGCATCTCGCACATGGGTTGCTCACGTTGCCCAGAGTGCGCGAACGAGGACGCAAGAGTCGGGATTGAGTATAGCCATGCAACTGTAACTGCATACCCAGCGCAATGACTATACCCCATTGCACTCCATTGCGTGTCTTACGATGTGAATATTCGTAAAAAAAAAATAATTAATTTACTTAAAAATTTCACTGTTGCGCCCTGTGGTGGAAGTTTTAAGAAAAAGATAAGTGCAGAAATGGATTCCTCATGCCAAATAACCCCTTATAGCATGTTTGTATGCAAACTTTAAGCGCTTCTTTACCTTTACGACCTACAGCAAAACGATTTTATACCTATAGTTTCTTCGGCAAATTTGCACGTTAAATCCTTCTGTGCTATACGCGCATAGTTGAAAAAATCTCTCATACAAGTTGACCCGCCGTAATATACATAATTCAAGAAAGCATACCTCGAAAAAAGCAGCTTTAAACCCAATGGGAAAATGGGAGTGCATTACTTTTTCTACCAATAACTACGGTTGAACAAAAAGATGAATCGCAATATAAGCGAGCGGATGATGTGTATTTCTGAAGCCACAAAAAAAAGTAAAAGGTTTTGAAAACTAACTCAAGTATGTTTTTTTGTTCTCGTTATCTCAACAGCTGCTGTAGCCGGATGGATGCGTGTTCAAAACAGACTGTATTTTTATTTTTATTCTATTTTTTAGTTTCGTTGGCTTTAGGAAATGATTTCATCTTTTCGTTACTTTTTGCATTCCCAGACATTACCTTTTCCTTTGGATTGTTCTAGTGAGACACTTGTAGGAGAGGTAGCGGTAATTTCGCATAATAATAATGACTAGTGAACCTGCAAATTTTTTAAACAGGTGAAACCCTATTCAAAAACCTCTAAAAAATATTCCGAATGATTAATCTCAACCATTTCTCAATGATGAGAGGTCCCGCACGGTGTCGGTTTTCATTTCATCAAAATCAAATCTCCCTGTAACTTCAAACAATAAAACCTGTGCACATCTATGTAGAATCCCAGTTCTTTAATTTGACTTCTCATTTTGGAAATTCGAAATAACGGTGCAGATGTGATGAC